TATATATATATATATATATATATTTTTTTTTTTTTTTTGTCCTTTTTGAGACCAGCCACACCACGCTCAGCCAGTGAGCTCTGTGAACGCACCGGTCATCCCTATATAGGATCCGAACCCGCGGCGGGAGCGCCACACTCTCCCGAGTGCGCCACGGGCTCGGCCCAGAGAATTATATTTTTAAAGGCAGGTGAAAGAAAAGATTGTAGGGGGGAAAAGTGCATTGTCAAAAGTGAGTAACCCAGCCTATTTAGAAAGGAAGAAAGAAACCTGCCACACGTTGCTCAGTATGTGCCCTGCACCAGGCTAGGCACGTTCTGACTTAATCCTTACAACTCTCATTTTTACACATATAGAAACTAAGGTTAAATATGTTGCCCTGGGTCACAAGGCTAGGACAAACTGAGACTCAAACCCTCATCATATAGAAGAACAAAAGAAATGGCAGATCAAATGCTTGGAAGATGGGGGTAGAGGAAAGGTAGGACTTTGGTTCAAGAACTTTTTTTTTTTTTGGTCCTTTTTTGAGACCAGCCGCACCACACTCAGCCAGCGAGCGCTGTGAGCACACCGGCCATCCCCACATAGGATCCGAACCCGTGGCGGGAGCGCCACCACGCCCCCAGCGCTGCACTCTCCCAAGTGCGCCACGGGCTCGGCCCATGGTTCAAGAACTTAAACAATGGGAACAGAAATTAATCCAGAAAAAAAAAAGAAATAGTCTAAGTTCTTTGAATTCATTCCATAATCAGTAAAGATTTGTCAGTCCCATTGGATTGTGCCAGGCCTGAGCTCAGTGCTGAGGACAGAGCCCTTTCCCATTGGGAGAGCTCACAGATTAGCTGGGAAAAGAGCTACTAGGAAAAGTTTATTAAGCAGCCGGGAATTAAGTGGCCATAAAGAGAAACATCCAAGGCTGGCAAGAGCCACGGAGCACCAGGGAATATCAGGTGCCAAGGGCCCCAGGTCCCTATCTGTTAACTCAGCAACCAAGCCTTCTACTGCCATGATTTCCCACCACCAGGTCTCCATCAATTCTTACCTGGCTGGCAGGCAACAGCCCTAACCCCCCCTCCTCCACTGTTCTCCAGGCCTCCAGCCAGGTTCACTTTCCATCTACCTCATGGCCACTGCAAATGGGTTTTCTTAGTCTTGCCCCTGACCTCTACTCTTGATAGAGTTCCAGATCCTGCATCTCCCCAGCCTCAACTCTGGCACTCTCTGAGACACTCAAGATGTCTTGGCTATACCAGATTCCTCCAAGACCTCAGTCCAGTGCCTAGAGTTCTCCTCCCAGTAGTTCTCTTGTCCTTTCAAACATAGCCCAGGAGTCCTTTCCACTGAGAGGGCTTCTCAGGACCTCACCCCTACGTGGGGCCTCCTGGGGCCTCAGGCATCCTGGGAAAGGCAGAGTGGTCCTGCAGCAGCCAAATGGGCAAACACCAAGAGAGTAGTAGTGGGTCAGAGGGAAACCCTGGAGGTCGCCCGCAGCTCCAGCACTGGATGGGGATAGGTTGGAGAGGTTGCTGCTGAGCTGCAAAATAACCACTCCTTTCCTTCCCGCATATGGTCTTGTGTCTGACAGTCCCTGTGTCTCACAGCGGCAATCGTGTGTGCCATCGATGGGCTTGTGGTCACGAAGATGATGAGAAATAACTTGAAAAGAATCGTGGGAGTCCAAATTGAAACCAAGCAGTCCCGCGACCAGCCGCCCAAACGCCAACCTGCCCCGGAGCCCACGCCGGAGCCCGCCCCAAAACCCACCCACCAACCCACCCCGGGGCCTTCCCGGAAACACGCTCCGAAATCCACCCGGGCGCCCTCCCAGAAACGAGTCCCCAAACCCGTCAAACCCGCCCCATCGTCCAGCTGAAGCCTGCTCTGGCGTCCGCGCAGAATCTGCCCGGGCACCCTCACGGGCGCACGCGTTTACGTCTAATCACTCTCTCCACGCCCACCATTGAGTTCGCATGCTGTCGCTCATTCCGGCCTACGTGTGACCATAAAATCAGGGCTGCTAAGTCGGGAACACTCTGCTTCCTCGTGTCGCCTTGTGTAAAAGTCGCGTTACGTTTTCATGCGTATGGCGCTGCACCGGCGAAGCTCGGGGCGCTCTGTCCCCAGAGGGAGTGGCTAGAGCCGTGACATTGAGGCTCCAAGAGCCAACCCGACCCAAGGACGCAAGCGGCGGCCACAGACCTGGGGCCACCTTGCAAGGCCTCGCTAGGACCCAGCGGGGAGGTGAGACCCAAATCCCGCACGGAGGCGGGGCCAGCGTGTTGGGCGCGGAAGTGGACCCTATGGGGGCTCCCGCGTGGAGGGCGGGTGGATCTGGCCCTGTTGGGTAGAGGGTACGTGCGTCGGTCCGCGCGGAGGGGAGGCGCAGGCGTTGGCATTCGCTGGTCTTGGCAGTTAGCCCCGCGCGGCCTCGGAGCAGGTCGGTGGACATCAGGCTCTGTCGTAAGCCAGGCCTGTCCAGGGACAACAGGAGAAATTGGGCAGGCCGTGAGAGGCTAAGGATTCCGAGGCAACGATGGCTGATAAATCTAAGACCAAGGCTGCCCCTCCTCCACCTGCAGCCACACCGGGCAAGCCCGAGCCGGGCAAGCCCGAGCCGGGCAAACCCGAGCCGGGCAAGAAGGAAGAGGTAGATAAAGAAGAGGAGACCAAAAAGCAAAAGTCGGTGCAGCCCAAGCATGAAGTGGGCACGAGAAAGGGGTGTCGCCGCTACCGATGGGAACTGAAGGATAGCACTAAAGAGTTCTGGATCATAGGGCACGCCCAGGTCAAGATCCTGAGTTTGGTGAGCTGACTGGTATTCCTGGGCAGGGATCCAAAACCAGGGGTTGGGGAGAAGGGGGGCAGGCCCCAGGGGTCTCCGGAAGGGTTTGGGACTCAGGTGTACAAGTATGTCTTGCTGCAGGGCTGCCTGATAGCGGCGTTGGCACTGTTCAAGTCAGTCCCCGTGCACCCCATCTTGACACTCGTCATCACCATGGAGTTGTCCATCATCTGCTTTTTCATCTTCATCTACACCTTTGCCATCCACAGATACATGCCCTTCATCCTGTGGCCCATTTCTGTAAGTGAGTGGTAGTGGAGACTGGTGGGAGCTGGTGTGCTACTCACATTTGTGTCTTGTCACCTGAGAAGTGACTGAACAGAGAGACGTGTCTCACCTCCCATATTTGTACCCCAGGCATGGGCTCAGCACCTTCGGATGGGGCCCAGGCAGGGGCAGCTGGGCAGGGGAGGTATAGCTAGGTAGAAAATGCTCCAAAAAAGCCTGGCCATGTGTGTCGGGGTGGGTGTGGGGGACTCTTAGCTATAGGATAGTCAAACAAAGAGGGCCTAAAGCTTTGCTTTCCTTGGTGGGAAGGGAGGTTTAGCAACCAGTTGTTCTTCCTCACCCCTCTGCCAGCTCACACCTATTTGGAGAGATCACCCCAGAAGGCACCTATCCTCAGAATTCAAAGCAGAAAATCAGTCACCCATAAATCAATAAGATAAAATAAGAATTATTTTTAAAGTCACTTCTAAAGCAGACTTAGGTCTCCAATGAATGTCCCTATAAAGGATATGTGATTCAGAAAGCTGTAACATGGGGACAATAATAATCCCCTGTGACATTGACATTTAATCCTGACCATTAATGTAGAGTGCTGACACTGTGCCTGAGGACTCATGGACTTGAGTCCCTGCCCATCACCTGTGTAATCACAGAGCATACCCACCTAACCCACAGCCAGTAGATGAAGAACCCCAAGTCCCAAGTCCCCTTGTTAATTGCACATTCATAACCTGCCTCCAGAACCCTCTGTTCATTGTTTCACTCACTTTACACATGAGGAAATGAACTCAGAATGGCCAAGTAACTTCACCCCAGGTCACTCAGCTAGTAAGTGGCAGAAAAAAGAATTCACACCCAGCTTTATCAGTAGAGTCTGAGTCTCTAGCTCCACTCTGTCCTGCTTCCATGTTAAAAGCTGTTGGGGAGCAGGGAGAGGACTGGCCTGTTGCTCATTTGGTTAGAGCAGAGGTCAGATCCCCATACCGGCCAGCCACCAAGGAAAAAGAAAAAACTGTTGGGGTCCAGGTATCTATAGGTCTCAGCAAAGTAGGTGAGGATCTCCAGTACTGGCAGAAAGGAGAAGAGGGCTGAATGAGGACTCTTGGAAAAGGCACAAGCAAGGTAAAAGGACAGGCAGAGGACAAGTTCCACTCATGGAGCCTGAAAAAGATACTTTTTATTCCAGCAAGATGAAAAACCAATGAACCCTGAAAATCCTCCTCTGTACCTAAAAATACTAGGGGAAATACAATATTGCTTTAACTGAACAGTTGAACTGGTGGGCTGGCCAGTTAGCTCAGTTGATTAGAGTACAGCCCTATAACACCAGGTCAAGGGTTCAGTTCCCCTTACCAGCCACTCGCCAAAAAAAACCAAACAAACAAAATAATGGAACAGCTGAACAGGTAAAAAAGAAAGGGAAACACACAAGCACCAAAAATGGGAAAAGGAGCAGTCATCATATAAGCTGCAAAGGGTAGGTGGGAATGGCCTGTGAGGTATTGTCTCAGGAACCTAGAGTATGGGTTTTCATACACTCTCAAGTTGGGTGATGAGGCTTTGATCCCAAACAAAGTGGGGATTTAGAACTGAGAATACTGCATAAAGCAGGCACACTGGAAAGACTGCTCCCTTAGGGGAAAAATGGAGAGAGAAAACACTCTTCCCCAACAGAGATGAACAGGAAAGCATGTTCATCTCTGCCTGAGCTTTGAGCAGACAAAAGAAAATCCTCCTTGAGAAACACAAGGGTAGTTCAAAAAGTTTGTGAAAAAAATAGAATTAAAAGATAATACAAACCTTTACATGGACTTTTTGAAGTACCCTCAGAAATCTTGAGCATACCACTTGTACAGATTTGGAGTTAGAATATTTGCTACCTGCAGTCTAAAACATTTCATGCAGCCTAGACAGCTTCATGCCCAGAAATTAGCATAAAACTCTATCCCAATCTGATGACATTCTGATGATATCCTTGGGTCTCCTGACAGAAACAAATGCAAAAACACAAAGCATGAAGAGATTTTCATGGGGGTGGGTGGAAGGGGGAGACTTGTTAAAAATATACTCACAATTCAAAACTACAAAACACTTGTTTGTTGTTGTTGTTGTTGTTTTCTAATCTCCATGACTAAGAAGGAAAAATCAGCAAACATAACAAATGAGAGGATTAGAATGCTGAGAATATAAAATCATAGAAGAGCTGTCTGAAAAAAATAATAAATATATTTTAAATGATTACATACATAAATAAGAGCCCTAAGAAAAGAATGACACTATGAAGACAGAACAGACAGATTTTTTTAAGTACAAAGTACAATGTCTAGAAAAGATAGGTATTAAAATAAAAATGTCAATAGATGAGATCAAAAGCAGATCAGACACAGCTGAAGAGAGAATTAGTGAACTGAAAGGTGTGGAGAAATTTCCCAGAATATAGCACTAAGAGATAAAGAGAACAAATATGAAAGAGAGAGGTTGAGCCATAGAACATGTAATAAGAATGTCCATCAAGAGTTGTCAAGAGAATGGAGGTGAGGAAATAGTCAAGAGAATAGAGGAGAAGAAAAATTCAAAGTGATAATGACTGAAAACCTTGCAGATTTAATGAGAGTGATGTCACTGTAAATGGCACAGTGCAGAACTCCAAAACTTTGTCCCTCCACTACAGCAGTGATTAAGCTGGCAAAAAACTATCAAAACCAACTTTTTTGGAACTCTAGAATCTAATTTAAAAACTTAGAACAACTAGGGGAATGCTTAAGAAAGAAAGAAGCTACTGAATTTTGGTAATAAAGAATTGTGCATTTTAGTTCATTTTATTTGTCACACATCTGCCTTAGTTGTGAGCAGCAGGTGTAGCATTTCCAGAAATGTTAAAAAATTAATTTACAAAAGTAGGGATTCAGTGAAGCCAACTGATTGGTACCCTTGGAAGTTTATACAAAGATGCCAACCCAGAGCAGCATGAAGATGACTCCAAAGCCCATGAAGAGTGAGGCCACCAAGGAGATGAGGTGATCTTTGTAGATATCCCAAGTGTACTTGGTGGAGCTGACCTCATAAAAAAAAAACCAGGAGGTGAAGAACATGCCAATGGCCAAAAGCACTATAGACAGGTGGGGAAGGCCTCTGGGTTCACTGGGCTGGTGTGCCTGTTTATGGCCTCAAGCTCCATTTTGTCCGGCACAGGGTAAGCTGCTTCTCTGCCACTAGAATGGACTACGTTATGTGTGTGTTTTAACTTACCCACCTGCCATCCCTCACTCCACAGCTTGGTAATAGCCTGAGGACAGCAGCACACATTCCTGCTGAAGCTTGCTGGGGGCAGAGGGAACAATACAGACCTTGTTCTCAAAGAATTATGGTTGTGTGTTTGTTTTCACCTGTCTTGTGACTACCTGAAAGATTGATCCAGGGACTTGCTTTTGTTTCATCTGCCTCAGAACTTTCTTAGGGATGAAGCAGTCTCCCTGGTAGCATTTGTCAAAAACATTTAAAGGCAAATATACTAGCTTCAGCCACTCAGGGCAAGCGAAAATAGATGAGGCAACCAGTAGACAGACCGGAAAGTTTGGAAAGGAAGATACTGGGAAAGGAGATACATAAGGGAATAAGGGCTTTGAAAAGTTCCCACATAAACCAGGGAATCTAGGAGACCATGCCCATTCCCAGGGCAGGACACACACTCAGAAAAGACCTGAGAAGACCCTAAGCTTTCACCTGTGGCTTACCATTAAGCTCCATGCAAGCAGGAAGTGAAAACTAAGACAGACTCGTGAACAGCCTGGCCACGTGTTGAAGGAGTAACCCAGCACAGAGCCAATCTGCAAAGACCAGTAGAGTATTTTATTTTTGTTCGTTTGTTTCCAGGCATTTAAAGAAATCCCTATTCAATCATTAGTCATTAGCTAATGAATCAGAGACTCTAGTGGGCACACAAGAAAAAAATACAGTCTTTCAAAAGAAGTTTAGAAAAGTCACTAAACATACAAATGATCACAACCCATAACAAAGAGCAACACCAAATTTGGCCGGGGGGAGGGCTGAATTCCAGATTAGCCACAATATAATATTGAAAATGCTCAGTTTCCACAAAGAATTACAAGGTGTGCAAAGAATAAGATAGTATGACCCATACACAGGGAAAAAAAAAGAAACAGAAACTGTCCCTGAGGAAGCCCAGATGTTAGACTTACCAGGCAAAAACTTTAAATCAACTATCTTAAAAATGTTCAAAGAACTACAGGAAACCGTAAGAACAATTCAGAAACAGACAGAGAAAGTTTGTAAGGGATGGGGGAAAAAAAAAGATAAAAACACTAAAAGAAATCTGGAATAGCTTTAATACCAGAATAAACCAATTTATATATTTTAGAAGTATATAAAGAGGATCACTATAGATAGAAATTCTGGACTTGTATGCATCTAACAATATAGCCCCAAAATATAAAATGCAAAATAGACCTAATGATAAGGAAGAATTGACAAATAGCAACCATAGGGTGAGATTTTAACATGCCTCCCTGAGTAATTACTTGATTTTAAAGTCAGCTTGATCTACTGACTTTAAAACATATAGAACCCTATACCCAATAGTAACAGGATATATATTCTTTTTAAGCATACTTCAAATAATCATAAAAATTATCCTCATATAAGACCACAAAGCAAGTGTAAACAAATAACAAGGAACTGATATCATACAGACCATTCGATAACTAAAATGTAGTGAAAGCCCCATATGTTTGGTGAGAAATCTAATATTTTCCCCAAACATGTGGATTTAGCTATATATAGTATTTTCAAATACTACCTGTAGAATGCAGCTAAACAATTCAAATTCAAACCATGTATTTAGAAAAGACTGAAAATTAACATTTTAAATGTCTATATGAAGAAGGTACCAAAACAAAACAAAGCAATAAAATTAAGAAGGAAATGCCAAAGAACTAGAATTAATGAAACAGGAAACAATGATCCATACGGAGGATTAATAAAACCAAAAATCTAGTTCTTTGAAAAGACTGATAAAGTAGACAAATCTCAAAAGAAAGAGGGAAGAAGGAACAAAGAAATAAAGTACAAAGACCAAGATGAGATTTTAAAGATCACAAGAGAAAATACGAGCTTTTTATGCCAATAAATTGTAAAGTTCAGATAAAATAGTTAATTTCCTAGAAAAAATATAACTTACAAAAGTTGACTCAAAAATAAACAGGAAAACATGCTGTAAAAGAATTTATCCATGTTTTCATCTGTCACTTTTATTGTTTCATTTTTTACATTTAAATCATTTGATTGATTTGAGTGATTTTGTGTATGGTATGAACCAGGGCTCCAGCTTTATATCCAACATTATGGCCACTTGTTTCACCCCATCACCTGATTTATTCTTTTATTGAATAACACATCTTTTCCCCATTGATTCGAAATGGCATTTTTGTTAAATGCTAAAAATTCTGTATGTATAGTTCATTTCTAGACTTTATATTCAGTTCCATCAGTCTGTCTATTTTTTTTTTTTCTTTTTAAAAGGCATTATAATATGTTGTACTGTCTGGTAGGGCTTTGGTCTTAAAACCAGACATTATAAGGAAAGTGAACTATAGGCCTATCATATTTGAGTATAGCCATAAAAATCCTCAATAAAGTGTTACAAACTGAATCAAGCAATATGTAAGAAAGCAATACATCATGATGAAGCAGCATCTGTGCCAGGAATACAAAGATGGTTTTGTCTTCAAAAACTCTATTAATATATTTCACCATACTTTAAAGGAAAAAAATATATCATCTCATAAGCTGCCAAAAAACTATTTAGTATTACTCAATACCAATCTTTAGAGAATTCTTAGCAAACTAGGAATAAACAGAACTTTCTTATCTTAATAATAGGCATCTACCCAAACCTACAGCAAACAAAGATTTTTATAGTGAAACTATCACAAGGAAAACATAAGGTATACAGACTGGGAAGGGGAAAGCTAACATTACTCAGAGATAATATGATTCTCTACACAGAAAATCCAAGAGAATCTATAGTCAAATTACTAGAACAGATTATGTTCCACAAGGTTACTAGAGAGAAAAACAATCGTGTTCCTGAATATCAGCAATGAACAATGAGAAAATGTGACTTTTAAAAGAAATAACTTAAAGTAGCAACAGAAAGTACAAGGTGTCTAAGAATAACCTGCTAAAAGACATGTGATACTTCACATAGAGATTATAAAATGTTATTAATGGATTAATTAATAATTAATTAAGTGTTAAAAACTGAATCAAACAACATGTAAGAAAGCAATGCATCATGATGATCAAAGAAAAACCTAAATAGAGAAATACACATTCACAGTTGTGAAAAGTTACTATAATAGAGATGGCAATTCAATTTCAAATTAATCTATAAATCAAATGAAATTTCCACAGTGATTCTAAAATTCTTATGGAAGAGTAAAAAGAATTACAAGGATGGACTTCTCCAATGAGATACTGGATTTACTATAGAGCTTTGGTACTAGTTCAGAGACTGACAAAAAGACTAATGAAATTGTTAAAGACTGAAAGGTTTGTGGCCCCCATGTGCTGAGTCCTTAACCTCCAATGTGGCTGTACTCGGAGATGGGGCCTCTAAGAAAGTAATTAGGAGATTACAAGGTTGGGGCCTTGATCTGATAGGAATAGTATTCTTATGAGACACCAGAGAGCTCGCTCACTCTCCACACACATGCATGTGAGGACAGATCAAGAAGGCAGCTGTCTGCAAGCCAGGAAGAGAGCCCTCACCAGAAACCAAATTTGCTGGCACCTTGATCATGGACTTCTAGCCTCTAGAACCATGAGAAAATGTCTATTGTTTTAGCCACCCAGTCTGTTGTATTTTATTGTGGCAGCCTGAGCAAATTAATACAGGATAGAAAAGAGAACTCTGAAATAGACCTACATATATATGGCAACTTGGTATATGACAAAGGTAGCATTATGAAACAGTTGAGCAGAATATTCAGTAAATGGTTCTGGGACTATTGGAGAGTTGAAGGTGGGGGGAGAGAGAGACTATGTATCCCACTAAAATTAAAACTTTGTAACAGAAGACATCATAAACAAAATTTTTAAAACAAACCAATAGAAAAAAATGGGACAAAGGGCATGAATCGGCAGGAAACCCACATGCCTAAGATGTTTTTTAAAAATGCTTATCTTCATTAGTAATGAGTGACATGAAAATTAAAACAACAATGAGGTACCATTTCAACTCATCAGATTGTCAAAAATCAATAAGCCTAATAATCCTGGATGTTGGCAAGGACATGGGAAATAGAAGCTCTTATCCATTGCTGGTGTGAAAGTCAATTGGCACTAGCACGTTAGAGAGAAACTTGGCAATACCTAGCCAAGGTGAGGATGTGCCTGGGAGACAAAACACAAACATTTGTTTGTTCACTGCAGCAGAGTTTGCAAGAGTAATAATTTTTTTTTTTTCCTTTTTGTCTTTTTTTGTGACCGGCTACGGGATCACAACCCTCGGTGTCGCTCCCGCACCTCACTCAGCCAGTGAGCGGGAACCGGTCTGTATGTGGGATCCGAACCCTCGGCGGGAGCGCCACCACGCTTCCCAAGCAGCGCACTGTAGCAGTGCGCCACCGGGCCGGCCCCAAGAGTAATAACTTTTTAAAAGGTTGAAACAACCTGTCTCTAGTTTGTCTCTAGTTTTATTTATACAGTAGACTATGTCAGTTAAAATTAATAAATTGTCGGGCCAGCCCGGTGGCGCACTGCTACAGTGCGCTGCTTGGGAGCGCGGTGGCCCTCCCGCCGAGGGTTCGGATCCCACATACAGACCAGCCGCTCACTGGCTGAGCAAGGTGCGGGCGCGACACTGAGGGTTGCGATCCGTTGCCGGTCACGAAAAAAGATAAAAAGGAAAAAAAAATTAATAAATTGTCTATATTTCTCAATATGGATAAATCTCAAAAACTGAAGTTTAAAAAGCAAGTGTTAGAAGGTATGATACCTCTTATTTGGAACACACAAAATAGTGCATATTGTTTATGAGTATATAATACGTAGGAAAATACAAATGCAGATGTGGGAAAACTATACATCAACTTCCAATGCTGGTTGCCTCTGGGAGGACAAAAGGGGGAAGCAGGCAGCACGAGGGACAGGAAGAGGGGTGGTGGGGTGAGACTGTAGCTCGCTCCATGAAGTTGTACTTCTTTCTTTCAAAGAGACATGAAGCAAATATAGCAAGATGTTAACATCTGTTAAATTTCAGTGGTTGGTGGCCTGGAAGAGATAGGAGTGAGGGTGGGATGTTCTATTATCTTCTGTATGTTTGAGATGCATCAAAATTCAAAGTTAGAAAGGAAAAGAAAAGGCCTGAGATGAACTGGCCGGGGAAGGTCAACCAACAGAAACTGGCAGCATAGGAACCAAGGGGAAAGGTGGGTGTCGCCAAACACCACAGGGTCAGCTGCCTCTCACTGGGAAGCACAGTTTGTCTCAGTCTCTTATCCCAGGAGTGATGGAGAAGGAAGCTGGCCTGCTATGGCCATGGTTTGGCCAATTCTGACAAGTTTGGCTGTGTCTTGTCAGTAGGGTGAGGGAATCCAGCATGTGATGAGGGCAAGACTGAAGCCACAAGGGCTGGGGAGAAGGTTGATGAAGGAGGAGGTGGTACAGCCTTGCAAAGAGGGGACGGGGTGGGTATAAAAGGAAGAGGAGATAAAGAGGCAGCTGCCAGTCCCCAATGAGGGACCAGAGTCCTACAGAGCCTCCTGCCAGCAATGCAGCCCACCCAGGCTCCAAAGAAGAAGCTGACCTGAGAGCAGACACATGACGTGGGGTGGTGCTCAAGAGGGACAGCATTAAGTTGTAGAGCTGTGTGTTTATTTATTTGATTATTGACTGGGGGAGACATAACTAGATTCCAAATGTGTATTTCACAGATGAGGGGGTAGAGGAGGGAGCCCTGACTTCACAAACTCAAGCCTGAAGGCAGTTAAACATCCTAGGTATTGGGTCTCAGCTTCCAGGTGGGAGGCCACAGGTATGCCCACCTAGCCCTGTGTGTATTTATCTTTATATATATATATGTGTGTGTGTGTGTGTGTATATATATATATATATATATATATTACATGTGTATATATATGTATATATGTATGTATGTGTGTGTGTGTGTGTGTGTATATATATATATATATATATTTTTTTTTTTTAAATCAGGCGGAAGTTTTAAAATATTCCTTTGGAGGAAGCTATGCTGGGTAGGGTGTTGATGGGACCTTGGCTCTGTCTGAGGCTGACATCTCTCCCAATTTCAGGACCTCCTCAATGACCTGGTTGCCTGTGTATTCCTTGGGGGAGCTGTGGTCTTTGCTGTGACAAGTCGAAAAAGCATGCCACTGTTCTACCTTATTGGTGTGGTGAGTCTTTCCATGTGGGGCTGTGTATTTTGCTCCGCACTTAACCTCTTTTGGAGAATGGGTGTTTTCCCCTAGTTAAGGAAAGAAACCATCTTGGAATCAAAGCAAAGTTAAGTAAAGTTGGTAAATGTTTCCAGTGGATAAGCCATTTAAATAAAGATGATGTCCAGGGAGCCAGCCCAGGTTAAATGCTTCCTTCTTGTAGCTGCCGAACCCCGAGCAAAGGGCCCCTCCGTGGCTGGGTTTAAGGAGAGAAAAGATAGAGATGAGATGACGGGACAGTAGGAATGGAGAAAGCAGAGGCTGAGGAAGGGGGCAAACAGTCTCTTAAAGCTGGGAGTTTGAGGGGACAAGAGGATGTGTTAAATAGCATCTACTGATGAATTAGAAAGAAGGAAATATACCACCTTTGGAATTAAAAGTGAAAAGTGATGAGGATCCTTTTGTTTTCCAGGTCCTTATGGGTGTGGCTGCACTTTTTTTTTTAATTGATACTTGTCTTCAAAGAAAACACTTCAAAGGCAAGAAGATCAAAAGGAACGTGCTGGTTCCTCCTCCAGGAAAGGACAAAGGACCTGAACAGAATAAAGAAAAGGCAAAGGAACCGGACACCGCTGGCAAGGACAAGGACGCGGGCAAGGACAAGGACGCGGGCAAGGACGCGGGCAAAGGCGCTGGCAAGGGCGCGGGCAAGGAACCGGCCAAGGATAAGGGAAAGGACGCGGGCAAGGATAAGGGAAAGGACGCGGGCAAGGATAAGGGAAAGGGAAAGAAATGACTTGAACGAAACTCCTAGAATGTCAGAAATGGCAGTGTATCCTACAGCAAAACATATTTCCACTGTCTTCCTTGTCTTCTTGCTAGATGACTTTCTTTTCCATTTTAACCACCTTTTCTTGGAAAAGAAATTTCTCTTTAAATGGATTTTAAAGCTCAAAATTTATGTAAACATTATTTTGTTCATTCAACAAAAGTTACTGAAAGTTATGGTTCAGAGAGCGAGGCCAGAACTGGGTCCCAGGCCCAGGGCTCTCTCAAGGTGCTCACTGGTGCCACAGGACATAGAGGGTTTTGGGGGACAAGAAGAATGGGTGACACCAGATGTCAACACTGACCAGGCAAAGGGACCAGAGGAAAATGAGAAACTGAAAACAAAAGGATGCATTTTGTTCACATTGATATTTTTATTTTACATTTTTTAAAGCACCCATGCAGTCCTCTTGAGAAAAGTAAGTTTGCTGGCCTTCTTTGTGCATACTGTGCAGTTTAGTATTGATCCTCACTGGAAGTTCACTTGGGAAGGAGGACAAGGAGGGTGGCATCTTCTCAGGACTTGGGGCCTCCAAGGGCAGGCTGGTGTATGGACAGAGCAGGGTGGGCACAGGGGGAGCCTGGGGGATATTTCCCTCAGAGCTGGCCTGCCAGACCTCTGGGACCTCAAGTGTCTCCTTCCAATGAGGACCTGAGCATAAGCCCCAAGCCAGGCTCCAGCTGGGCCCTGGAGCCACAGTCCCCACACACAGGCCTCACAGGCCCCTCCCCCAGGGCCCCTTTCTCCCTGGACAGTCCAGCCATCCTGGAAGGAGCAGGGTCATTGTCATGAGAAGAAAGAGAGGCCCCAAACTGATAGGCGAGGAGCTGGAAGAAAGTCTGTAGTGGGGAGCCTGGAGCCCCGAGCCCAGCTAGGGATGATGTAGGAGAAAGGCCTTTGAAGGGCCACGATAATGACTTGGGCCTTTGTCCTAAGTGCCATGGGGATAACTGAAGGCGAGGAAGTGGAAGGGTCACCTTTCCACAGGGAGAAGATCACAGACTTGGCTGCTGCAGCAAAGGATGTGTGGTTGGAAGGAGGCTGCCACCTGTCCTTCAGGTGGGGGGAGCTGAGCAGCTGGGTGGTGAAGACCTGGAATTTGAGATGGCCCCAACCCCAGCTCCTCTACCCCTCAAGTCCCTACTCCCACTATAGCCCCCACAGCACCCCTGCAGGCCAGGCAGTGTGAGGCAACCCTACTGCAAGGTGTAAGAGCAACTAGAGGGAGTTAAACTGTAAAGAAAAACTAAAAAATGCACGCTATCCTGCCATTTGACCCAGAATTCCTCTCCTAGGTATTTAGCTAAGAGCAATGGTATACCAGAATGTTTGTAATAGCCCCAAACTAGGAAGAGTCAAGTGTTCAAAAGGAGATAAACTATGCTACATTCACAAAATGGAATGTACTACTCAGCAATAAAAAAGAGTAAACTACTGATACAACAGTAGTTGTATGAATGAATCTCACATCATATTGAGTGAAAGAAACCAGACACAAAAAGACAATGCCATATGATTCCATATCTAAGAAGTTCAAGAACAGGCAAAACTGGTTAGCTCAGTTGGTTAGAGTGTGGTGCTAATAGTACCACAGTCCGGAGTTTGATCCCTGTACCGGCCTGCAAAATAAAATATAAAAATATAGTGAAAGAAATTGAAACAGTAGTTACCTCAGGAGGTGGAGAATGGGGATCAATTACAAAGGGGCATGAGGTAACTCTTGGGGGTACTGGAAATGGTTTATTGATATCTTCATTGGAGGAGCTAGTTACACAGGCATATACGTATGTCAAAACATTCAACTGTGTACTTAAGATCTGTGTATTCCATTGTGTGTAAATTGTATCTAAAAACGTAAGCTAAATATGATTGCTCAGAATTCAGTGGAAAAGGGTAGACCTTCCTAAACTCCTTTGGCCACTCCTCTCAACCCCTGGATGGCTCTTTGAAGTAGGCAGAGTTTCTTCATACCAAGACAGAGAACACAAATCCTAGGTATAAGAAGGCATGAAGTGGGGGGCTGAGATGGGGCTGAGCATGACTTGAGAGGCAGTGTCTGTCATGCTAAGAGGACCCTGGGACAGAGACAAATGGGGACATGAACTGTAGGAAGATGCCCCTTCAGAGCAAAACTATATCAGGTAAGTACCTGCCAAGAGCAAGAAATAGCCTGGGTGTGGGGCGTATCACCTACAGGTCTGGTTGAAATGCAGATTCTAAAAAATCTTAATCAGTACACTCACAATAAAGATGGATACCACGTCCTTAAAACAAGAGACTGCAAAAAGGGCAACCAGCAAACTAGAGTTCTTGGGGAAAAAACTATGACAAAAACTTTAACAGAATGGTTGAATAATATACTGGACATAGTTTAAGTCCCCAATTAGTGATCTGAAAAATAAAAGCCAAGGAAATCTCCCAGAACGTAAAGCAAAGAAAGCAGGGAGATTATTTTTTAGAAGAAATTAAGAGAGACATGAAGGATAAAACGAGGAGGTCCAACAACCATCTCAAAGAGATCCCAGGAGGTGAAAACAGAAAATGGGGGGGAAGAAAATAATCAAACCACAGAAAAAATCCCCCTCAGCTAAAGAAAAGCTAAAGTCTTCTGATGGAAAGGGCTAACAAGGTGTTGGGCAGGTTTACTGGAAAAGAATCCTCACCTGCACATTTCTTAGTGAAATATTGGAGCTCTCAAGATAAAGAGAACATCCTAAACTTTTCCAGAGAGAGAAAAACAATACAAAGATGTTATTGATAAGAGAACAAAACCAAACATCAAAGGCCACATGGATATTAGAAAACAATGGAGCTGTAGCTTCAAAGTTCTGAGGGAACTAGCAATCAAGTGGAAAGTCAAAAGACAACTTTTTTTTTAACCAATGACAAACACTTGCTAAAAAAATTTTTAACATAATGCAGCAAAATTTTTAAATTCTTTTTTGTTTTTTTTCCTTTTTGTCTTTTTTCGTGGCCGGCAACGGATCGCAACCCTCAGTGTCGCGCCCGTACCGGACCGGGACCGGCAACGGGATCGCAACCCTCAGTGTTGCTCCCGCACCTCGCTCAGCCAGTGAGCGGCCGGTCTGTATGTGGGATCCGAACCCTCGGCGGGAGCGCCGCCGCACTTCCCAAGCAGCGCATTGTAGCAGTGCACCACCGGACCGGCCCCTAAAAAAAAATTTTTTAAAGAAAAGAAAATCAGAGTTACACCTCAGCCTTAGGTACAACATAAGCCTTTTAAGAATTATGGTAAAGGGCCAACCCCCTGGCGCACTCGCTCCTGGAAATGCAGTGGCGCTCCCACCGTGGGTTTGGATCCTATATAGGGATGGCCAGTGCACTCACTGGCTGAGTGTGGTGCGGATGACACCAAGCCAAGGGTTGTGATCCCCTTACCGGTCACAAAAAGGACAAAAAAAATAAAAATTATAATGGTAAAATAACACATAAAATTTGCCATTAGTGACCTTTAGTACATTCATAATGTTGTGCAACCATCGCCACTATCTAGTTCCAGAACATTTTCACCACACCTGAAGGAAAACCTGTACCCATTAAGGAATCACTCTGTATTCCTTCCTTTCTCCAGGTCCTGGCAACCACTCATCTCACTAATCTGCTTTCTGTTTCATTGGAGTCATACTCTGGTATTTTGTGTCTAGCTTCTTTCACTTAGCATGTTTTAAAGCTTCATCCATGCCGTAATATGTATCCATGAAGCAATCACTTCATTGCTTTTTTTAAAAAAATATTTAAATTTTTTTATTGAGGTAAAATACATTATAAAATTAAGCATTTTAAAGTGAGCAATTCAGTGGCATTTAGTATATTCACAATGTTGTACAAAAAATTCTATCTAGTCCCAAAACATTTTCATAACTTTATTCATTTTTATGGCTAAATAATATTCCATTGTATGGCTATACTATATTTTATTTATCCATTCATCTATTGATAGATATTTGCATTGTTTCCACCTTTTAGCTAGTGTGAATAATGCTGCTATGAACTTTAGTGTACAGGTTTTTGTTTGAACACCTATTTTCAATTCTTTTGAATACATACCCAGGACTGAAATTGCTGGATCAACATAGTAAATCTATTTTTAGCTTTTTGAGGAACTGCCAAACTATTTTTCACAGTGGCTGACCATTTTACATTCCCACTAACAATGTACGAGGGTTCCAGTTTCTCCACAACCTTTCCAACACTTACTATTTTCTTTTTTTAAATTAAAGCCATCCTGGTGGGTTTGCAGTGTTATCTTATTGTGGTTTTGCTTTGCATTTCCCTAATGGCTAATGGTGTTGAACACCTTTTCAAGCGCTTTTTGGCCAGTTTTAGATTGTTGATCTGAAAAAGAAACTGAAGCCAAATATAAATATATATATATATATACATATCAAGGAGTTTATTTGAGTGTAGATGAGGATCCATAGGCCTGGAAGACACACAGACAAGTTGCCTTGGAATGTGCTTTGTAGGAGGTCATCAGAATTCAGCATTTTGTAATCACACAGACAGGGAGAATCAAATGGGAGAGAAGAGGACAGTCGCTCCCCCACCCCCACCCCAATCATTACATTAGTTTTTCTGTTGGTTGAACACAATGTATAGATTTGGAGTTGTTACTAGATTACATCCTACATGTAAGGATATAGGGTACAATTACAAGAAGCACTCAAGTTTATTACTTCTGGTGCCAGTATGTCTGCTTCTCAGTAAAAATCGTCTCATGATAATGTTTTCCAGGACATGGGACATGACTGCTGATTCATCTCAGTAATTTCCCAAGGCACTACAATTCAGCTGACCTGGTCAGAGCGGATTTTTTTAGTTATCAAGATCTTCTCTGGAGAAATGGCTATTTAAGTCTTTTGCCTACTTTTTCAATTGGGTTGTTTGTCTTTTTTTTATTGAGTTATAAGAAGTCTTTATATATTCTGGACACTAGACACTTATCT